AGAAAATTATTCATTAAAGCAACTCTTCACCCGCATTAGCTTACTTCTAATACATGCCACCTAGTTGCGGTTCTCAAATCATAAATAATCGAAGCACCTTCAAGTGTACCAACAGCTAATTTTTGTGAACCACCATGAAAAGCAATTGAAGGAAATGTTTTAACTAAATCATGTAATACACTTGTTGTGGTTTGTAATACTCTATCTCTCATCTTTGGTACGTTAGGATCTAGAGACTTTACTACCGCTTCAACCAATCCAGATAAATGTGCATGTAGAACTAATGGTTTCCTACGTATGAATAGTGATATTAATTTTAAAAATCCCACATTTTCTGTTGGTTTCTTTGAATTATTTGTATCATATATTAATGTTGATATACATAATGGGGTGTTAGCTATTGATATTTGAAATATGGCTTTTTGTGCCATTGCTTTAACCGTTACAGCATTTGTTTCCGTATCTATTGCTAACGCAAATATCGTCCTCAACACCGCCACGGCATCAAAATGTATAAGATCAGAAAATTTGAAAGTTAAGGAAATAAATAAAATTTTTCTTAAAAGAAATCCCACAAAAAAAAAAAATAAAGGATATGAGGCTCCCAAGTTGAAAATCCTCTTCCGCATAATTCAAGTGCGGCTAATCGATGTGATAATTTGGAATCATCATGTAATAATAAAATCAATGACAATGCAATATTCTTTGCAACTCTAAAGAAAAATAAAATAAACATTAGTTTTGAAAACGGTATATAATTGAACAAGGTGAGCCTTTTAAAATAAAAGATTACAAACGTTTTTGATAAAAACTCTGGATGATCCGATCCAATCATTCCAAGCAATATAGTAGATCTAGCCATGTACTGATTAGTATAAATATCTGGCGAAGTGACTGCTGGTACTTAAATCAAATCAATTAGGAAATAAATAAGCAAAAATTTTCTTAATAAGGAAAAATATTATTGAACACGCAAACTCACAAAACTGTTTCCAATAGTCAATGATTGATTGTAACTCTGAGGATGGCATTTTATTTAACGTTGTTTGAAAAAGCACCCTTGCTGATGTCCTTATGTCCTCTAATAAATAAAAAAAAACCAATTTAATTATATTCTTTTCTATTTCGCCATCTTTGGCTAAACTATATTTAAGCTTACCAACTGGATCTTGAAAATACTTTGCAAGAAATGCAAGAGAAGAATGATAAAACTTTTCTCCAACAAGTTCTGGTAATAATGATCCATAGTGTGTTATAATATCACTTGAATATTTTTCCAATCCTATAAATATTTAATTAGAAATCTTGTAAACGAAAAATATTGCGCTAATTTTATGCAAAAATAATAAATTACCTTTCATGGAAAGAAATGAACGTATTAGCCCAATGATTGACAATAAACGTGACGCTGACATCGTTTGTGATATCTTCCATGCTGCCGTACCATCATTAGGAGAAGGAACAGCAATTGTCAAATTGCCATTTGCACTATTTGTTTACTAGCATCCTTAGCATATGAAAAAGGAAAAAAAAAAGGCAGAATGATAAAATTTTCTTTTACCCTCTCAATCCAAAAGTTACTTGGCTTGAAGGTTTTTTTAAACCTAATTTCTCTGTACACATTTTGTCTAGAGAGCTATCAATTCCCCATGTCATCAAAGCAGATACTATGACTTGAACGATACTGGAGTCAATGGCCTTAGTTTCCGTTTCGGTTGGAGAAGGAATAGAAGCAACGGATGATGATTGTGAAGCTCCAGCAGTTGTCCATGAAAATATCTTGGACATTGTTGATGGCTTTTCATCAAAATCTTCATTTATTCCATTTGATCCATTTAAATTATTAGGTTTTGAACCAAATTGTGACACATGATAATGATAAATATCATTTATAAGTTGTTTAACATTTATTATAAAAACCTGAACCGTTGTGCCTACCATTTAGAAAAGCATAATAGTTAGGATACGTACAAAATATATTAAATTAATTTATCATACCTTCATTTGCTGAATTATCTGTAAAAGATGTCAAAGTTTTGACTTTGCTGTTTCTGTCTGTGGTTGATTCTTGTTTCTCCACTGAACTATAAATAAATTAAATGTCATTATATCTTTCTGAGCATGAAGGAACGGTAATAAATATCAAACCTCGTCCTCCATGAATGATCTTTTAACATGTCTCTTGCAGCCGAACCAGCAACTATTTGAATAAGTTCCGACGTTTGTGTCTAGAAATAGGAAACAATAATAATTTATAAGAAATCTTTTGTTAAAAAGAAAATAAAAAGTGAATTTCAAGAAATTTTGTACCAAACCTGCCAGATGTGAGCCGAGTCATCTTTATAAAATAAGACTATAGACCCTTCAGAAGTTCTCCATTGGATTGTATTTAATGGATATTGATAACCTCCAAATACATATAAACTATAATAAATGTATACTAATGGTAAATAAAGATAAATAAATGTATATATATATATAAATGATTGAACTTTTACCAGCTCATCTCTTCCAAAGAAATTATAGCCAAAGAGTTATCTTTAGCAACAGACAATACGCATCCTTTAATTCTAATTCTTTGTAACTCATCAATTGGAGGTTCAAAAAATTGTGTAACATATTGACTATGATACTTGAAAGAAGCAAGTTTCTTCTTTTCTCTTCACAGAATCATATAAAAACTTCGTGAATAATAGTACAAAAAGAATTACATAACCACCAAAATAAAGAATAATATACCAACAAATAACTTACTCCAAACTCCATATCCTAACTGAACAATCTTCACCACCGGATAAAAGATACTTGTTCCCAAAGCTTTGTGAACAAGGTGTATATAAACAAGTAACCTTACCAACATGACCTTTTAATATTGAATCCGGTGGTACCTCAGATTGTGTTAATGCCACTGGTATAGGTAGAAGGTGAATTTCTCCATTCTCTATAAAAATAATTTTTTTAAAATATTTAATATTATACAGTTGACAACAAAATCCACATAATATCATACCATATCCAATAGCTAAATGATCATCATAAACCATAGTTGTGACTGTAATTTGATCATTCTGATGTTTTAACGGACAAATGACAGATAATTGTGTCTCTATAAAAGGAAAGTGAAAAAAGGTTAACTTTTTTTAAAATAAGAAAAATAAAGAAAAATAAAATAAATAATTTAAAAGAAAAAATGCTTTATGAACTTGCCCGGATGCCACCTTAATTCTCGAGTATGATTATTATCACGTATTTCGGATTCTTTCACCGGTGATAATGACTTGAATGCAAATGAGGTGCCACTTGCCTGATTGCGGAAAGTAACCAAATATAAACTCGATAACTTTCCTTCAATGCACGATGTTAAAAATACAGTCGTTACAGCGGGACTCGCTTTACTTTCACTATCCGAACAAACAGTTTCGAGTAACTGTGGTCTAGAATTTTTAAATAATATAAAAAAGATAAATTATTGCAAAGGTCTCAAAAAAGTTCAATGATATAGTATTTCTAACCTTGAAAGGGGCGAATTTGGTAATTTATTAACGTTGACTTTTTGTAAATTAGGCAGAGATGACCTTCGAATAAGGCCTGGCTTTATATGCAAATGAGCATTTTCCGGCGGAAATTTCCTTTCCGTGTATGACGGTATTGAATACAGATAAGCATCTCCTATCTGCATATTTTCCAAAATAAATGATATGCAAAATTAATGAATATTCACACAAAAAAAAACTCAAATATATTCAACTTTACCTGATTCCATAATAATACTCGATTTTTCGATAAGAAAATTCCACTTGCCCAATGAATTCCTTCCTTTGGGATTCGAATACGTTGAAAATTACCCATCTTCCCATGACAGATTGTAAATATCTAATGACAAACAAAATATTTTTATTGCTCGCATATAAACTAATATTATATGGGAACGTTGCCAATAAAATCACATTACGGTTATGACTTTGATTTTACTGGCAAAGTTTACATATATGTTAATTATTTCCGCACTTACTATAACGTAACTTTTCGTTATTGCTAGTATAACTCCAATATCGTATGGATTACTAATTAATTCCAATATTTTATCTCCCTGTGCATCTAATAATCCAACATTATCATATTCTTTTATAATTGTATGCTTTGATTCATCAAATGTCCATATTTTCAAAATTCCATTGAAATTTGAAGTTAACAATCTAATTTGACGTGCATCTAAATAGAAAATTTTGTAAGAAAATTATGAATCGGAAAAATATATTCTCTTAAATAATTTACCTGAATCATAAAAAGGAGTGCAAGTCACCCAATCATTATGACCAGCCCAAATTCGCACAATCTAGATATTAGAAATATTTAATAACTTAACCCGAACATATAAATGTCCAGTAAAATTAATTTAACATTACCTCTAGTGATGTGCAATTTAATATAGTGATCTCATTTAAAAATCCAGAACAGAGAAGAAATTTTGCTGGCTATAATAAATTACATAAATTTTTAATATCAATATTTAAGTTTTAAAAATATTAGTAATTTGAACATATTATTTTACCTGAGCATACTCGGCTAGAGGCTTTAGACTTTTGATAATTCCATCAAAAGCTCTAGAAATGCTCATAAGACACCTTCCATCCAACAAACACCACTTAATAACATCACTATAACCCATTTCATTAAAATAAATGAATAATTAGTTATAGAATATAACAGATCGCCCTATAAAGATATGCAAATACTCAACCCATCTTCCGAGGCGCTTATCACTACATGATCATTTTCGGCACAGCCGTCAGTTTGGCCTTTTACGATTGTTAAAGCGGTAATTGGAGATTCATGACCAACGCATAATACCTTATGTTGTAGCTAAATTTTTTTTACAAGATAAAATCTAATTTAGATAAATGATGATGATGATGGTGATGATGATGATTTAATAAAAAAAAAAAAAGAGAGAAATTATGATAACAGATTTATCGTGTTTGCTTTTAGACTATATTTTTAGTATATGTATTTAATAAACAAATCCGAAAGGCCTTATCGTTATATAAAAGGTGTAGTAATAATACAAGGCGAGGTTGTTTTAAAATTCACCTGAAGAGTTCCCTGTTCGCTGATAATACAACGATATATCCAAATGTGACCGTCTTTAAGTCCAGTAACAATGTGTCCTTCCTTGTAAGCAACAGTAGTTACGGGAGCAGTTGGCAACTTATTCCAAAAGACTAACGGAACAATTAAAGAAGAGGAAGCCATCGAAAAAAAAAGTAAAAACAAAAATAAAAAAAAAAGTGATTTAAAGGAGGAAATGTAGTTAAAATGAATAATGAATAAAAAAAACTATTTTTAATCAATTTATCATTAGCATGGGATTATAAAATCCAAATTAGTTTAAATACATTTAGCCAGGATGACATCAGTTCACAATTTCAAGTAGGCGGTTAAATTTTATTTATATGTATAGTATATCAACGTCCTTCGAATGTTCCAATTCACAGATCTTCAATCTTATGCAATGTCGATTATCGTTTCCTAAAACACAAAATTCGGTTTTCATCTATTTATAAATCCTCATTATTTCAAGATAAATCAAAAAAAAAAAAAAAAAATGTTGTCAACCTTCTCTCGGGGGTTTTCAATGCAAAAACATACATTATTCAGATTAAAAACATTACATAGATATATTTCTTCGACTTCAGCATCTTTTGCACGTAATAAACCTGGTTCAGGGGGGTTGGGTAAACGAAGAGATCCTGAAGCTGAATTATATGATATTGACAAAATGCCAGAGTACAAATTTGACGCTATAACCAAGCCCGGATATGATATTTTATTAGCTCAACGAGAGGTCAGAAATTATCTGAGAATAACAAAATTCGAATTGCCTCAACTTTCAGGTAAGTAATAATGTATGAAATGTATGATCGTTACTACATAATTAACAAATCAACCCTTTCGATTTATATTTATTACTTCTCAAAAATAGTATTCGCAGAAAAATTTACTCCATCCCCACCAACTTCAATCCTTTGTTTTAAAAATTCATATTACGTAGGAGAATCTTCGCCATTACAAAACAAAGTAGTTCTTACCATAAAATTCTGTGATATTAAAGCGCTACTTACACCTAAACAACTACATAAATTTGTTATATTATGTGGTCCTAGATTTAATGGAGTAGAATTTAAATTTTCTTGTGATAAATTTCCTCATATTAATCAAAATAAGAAATATTTGAGCGATTTGGTTGACAAACTTTTGGAGGAATCCAAGGTAAATCTTGAATTTAGAGGATTAAATGGTTTTATATCGAAGATTTGATTTAACTAACTTATTTTGGGAAATGAATGTTTTAGAATGAGGAAGATATGTTTGAGGACATACCAATGGACACAAGACATATAGAAAAAAAATCAAAGAAAAAGAAATTACAAGGTCTTAAGTTTCCAGTGGAATGGTACAGACCAAAGCAACAAATAGAGCAACAAGCGGAATTACTTGATCGGGTTGATCGGACAACATTAACGACTACTACAACAACCGGAAACAATAATTTATCGACAGAGAGTAGAAAAATAGTAGAGACCATTAGCATAGAGATTAAATAGGATTAATATTTAAGAAATAATTTCCATCTGTAAAGAGCGAAGTCAATTCATAATATAAATATTCTAGGATTTATTGATTGATTTAATCACATGACCAACCAAAGAAAGCCGCGCCACAATTTTAGCGGTCGAAATTACTGCGCCATGATGAAAACAGCGTAGGATCCAATAAATTAAAAAACGCGACCCGAACTATTTCCCTCCTCAACAAACTAATACACATAGTAATGAACTCATCGAAAAAAATCTATAACTAATAGTTAATATTATTATAAATATAAATATGCTATATTTGTGTTCTACCATTGAATAAATAATTTGAATTTATTTGTAAATTAATAAAATATCTTGCAATTTAATTTTTTTCTCGCATAAAATAAAAATATATATTTACAGTAAACCAAAGATCCTCCTAATACAATAAACCTTTTCTTTCACTCTTTTCTCTTTCTTTCTGTGGTGTTTTTTTTTTTTTAAAAAAAAAAAAAAAAAATGTTCATATAACAGCTATTACTTACTAATTGTGGGATCACCATTCTCTAATTTTATATTACTGAAATTATTAAACTCTTGCTGGTATTTCTCAAGAATTTTTGTATATTCGTCATAAATGCATTTCTTATCAAATGCTTCTTGGAAAGTACTATTCCATTTAAGGATAATTTGTATAAGTAAATCTTCAGCATAAGCACGTACATCACGAATGCAAACATCATCTTTTTCTTCTTTATCTTCCTCTTCACTCTTTTGTTTTACTTTAGCATTAGTAAAAAAAATATTTGAAAGGAACTCCTCGATGTGTGAATACTAAAAGAAACAAAATAGGTAATTAGCGAATAAAAAAATTAAAAAAAATTTTAAACTAAATGATGCATACGAACCTCAAAAATTTTACATATAAGATCTTCAGGATAATATACCACGAATGCTAATACACTCATCATAATCAATTTACGCAATTCCCAACATTCCGAAGCGCGATATGACTTAAATAATGATGGTAATATAATAACTGCAAACAGCTTTTCTTGCTTATTCAAAATTGGCTGCTGCGAAGTATTACCGCAATCAACCTTCATTTCATCATGATTCGCGTCGATATTATGAACAAGTTCCGTCAACCAATCTACTAAAATTTTCAATAGAAATTAATTATCTAAATAAAGAATTGACAAACCTAATTAACGAACCTTTTGAAGTCCATTTATGACTAATTTTTCCATCCGGAACCATGAGATGTAACATTCCTGGATCCGGTACGGCAGGGAATAATGACAAAATAAAATGACAGACTTGCATATAAAGCTTAATTGGTTCCATGTTCACATATCTGTAGCGAAGTTTTGTATTGACCTCGGTCACTATCTCCCCAATCTTACCTCCATCAATTGATAATTCTGAGTATATATCTTCTACGTTTCTACGTCGTTCTGCACCATTACCATTATCATTTCCATTTGGATTACCGTTGACATTGGTATTGTTGCCATTATGGTTAAGATTATGGCTATAAACTAATTCATTTTCATTTTGATCTTTCTCGGGATTATTTATGCTTTTCCTTGATAATACATCGAACAAAGCCTTAACGACTCCATTGTCAATAAGTAAATTTGTTATTCTACGCGATTTATTTATTAAAGTATTGAACATTTTCCAGATTCTTAATTGATTATATTCACTATATTTGTATTAAAAATAACGTAATGTTAAACATGTAGTAAAAAAAATTCTTGAAAAAAAAATCGTTACTTACTCAAATTGTTTCATACGATAAGTAATATTCTTAATCACATCCGGATTTGAGAATACTAATAAAGATTCAACATCCCCACGATATCGACTTATTAAAGAACATAAACTAATACAACACCATTTTGTAACCTCGGGCATTTCGTGATCAGCAAAGAACGCCTGAAAGTCAACTGTATTGAAAACCTCGACCAGCAATTGTTTAATATAACGATGAGGAACTTTACAAGTGCAATTGGCAAGTAATTTCAACGGCAAAACCCGATCCTCGTCAATTAAAAAAGGCATGATGCTTTCCATGATATTTTTGAAAACATTTTTCTTGACTATACTTTCTGTACAATCGATAAAAGTTGGCTTTGAAAAATTATACAATGCCTAATACCAAGGATAAGATTTCGAAGTAGAAGTAAATAGAAATTACTCGATAACATTTATAAGAAATTTGCTGCGATAACATACCAATATTATATCTTTTAAATGTTCCGAATCATAAGTACGTGGCCCCTCCGTTAAAATGTTACACAATAATGGAATAGCATCCTCTCTTATAGCACGGCCAATCATACGCTCAGAGTTATCACCCAAGGTCATCACCAAATTTCCCAAACATCGGCTTGCCATTGTTATAACATTCGGATCATTTCCTGTACCTTGAAACACATCCCGTTCCAATAGTTGGCGTAGAATCTCTGGTTCAAATTGTTGTAACATTAAAGCTTCAATTGAAGGCATGGAATCATTATTTGTGGTTTTCTGAACTACATCCAACAGCTTCTGTACTAATAAATCTAGGTTCCAGTTACTAAACATAGGTCTTTCAAGTAATAAGAAAAAATTTGCGAGCCTGGCCAATTGTTCACTGTTACATTCCGTTCGAGATACTGATTTTATAACATCTTTAATATCGGAAGGTAAGAAACTATTTGGTTGTATAATCTGTGGTTCATTATCGTGTGTTGATTCATGAATTTCGTCTGTATCACTGTCATTCTCTTCCCCATCATAATGAATATCATGTTCAATCTCAATTCCATCTGAATTCAGTTCTACATCGAGAGGTTGGTCTATACTCATTATATTAGATTCTGTGAAATATCATGCGTATAAACTATGTTAAAAATATGCGATTCCAAAAAGTGTGATATGTACGCAATTCGAAACTTTGCTTTATATATAGAAAAAAATGCAATTTATTTCGATAATACCGAATCGTAAATAAATAAATACGGCTCACCAGTATCTGCATTATCTCTACTCATAATTTCAGAAGATATTTCCATTTGTTCTGGTTCATCAATATCCATAGCTTCATAATCATCAATCGTATTCTCAATAGCATTGCTCATATTTATTTGCCTGCTTCGATAAAAGTATCTTAAATGATCAGGCACGTTTTCACCAATTTCTTGATTCGCTTGCTGACTTGAATTAGCAAGAGATCTAGTAATACGACGAAGCACGCTAAAAAATTAAATAAAATTTGCTATAAGACGCTTATCTTCAATGCATCATAAAGTAGATAGCAACAGATATCGTACTCTGATGATCTTGATAATGATGATGATGATGATGAATGAGTGCTGCTCCTTCGCCAAGATCTCCTATCCATTTCTTATTAAGCCAAAAATCGTCTAATATATCTGATCTAGAGTCAACAGTCAGAATCATATATATAAGTACATACGCGCTTAAACATCATAAAAAATTTTGATTGAAATCTATAAAAGCGCTCAAAAGATAAGTTGATTAATCTTAATGTCAAGAACATGAAATTAAATTAATGAATTACCTAATTGAATAAGAAATTCCTATCACAGTTATTAATAAGCTATATAATAAAATGAATGAATGCTTCTTATCATTTTTAATTTCAAGTCTAGGATGAAATATACCTCTCTTCAGAAAAAAAAAAAAAATTGGTCAATTACTTTATATTCACCTACGATTCGTTTACAAATATTTGCGAACCGGATCCTAAAATCATGCTACCAAATTATTTCTGAAAAGCTTTTTTATTATTGAAGTAAAAGAAACTGCGTCTTTTCTATACGATACCTTATTTGTTGTATTGCCTCAGAGTTCTCACCTTTAACACCGTACAAAGTAGATTTAATAGTCTAATGAGGAACTATATGAACCTTTAAGTGACAATTTGTAAATAATACTAAAAACAGTTACGAAGCTTTATAGCATTAATAAATTGCTAAACTTACTCTCAATAGGCTATCTCTTTTGATTTACTAAAGATCAAAACAGGGAATAAACAGAATGTGAAAATGACAGCTTCTAAATTTGTTCTGGAAAGAGAACACCTTTTCACAACCTAGTTCATTAACAAAGGAAAAAAAATTTTTTTTTTATATATTCCTATATTCCGAATGAAAAATTGAGAGGCTTTATATAATTTTAGGTTGTGTTACCAAAAAGTGATACATCACGTGAATATTTTGTGTGATGTTTTTTGTTTATAAATAGTCCGATTTCATAGTTCCATCTTTAAAAATGAATGATGCAGGAAAAACAAAATGCAATTGAAATAATAGAGCAATTACTAATCAGAATAGATTTTTCAAAAATTCCCACGTTTGATAATGCGGTGATTAAACGAATTGAGCAGATACGCGATATATTAACCTCTTTCTATAATAAATGGAACGATGTAATAAGGTAAATTCTAAAAGTTGGAAGTATCTTTCTAAAGAATTTCTCGATCAAACAAAAATTTATTTTTAGAATATCTGTGGAAAATGTAATAAAAAAAACCAAATTCACCCATAGAGATGATACGCGATTCATGAAATTATGTCAATCGTTGATTTATATTATTATTTCGGATCCGGAAACTTCAAATCTTAGGCTATCCGAATTTAAACAATATTCACTTGAGACAAGTGAAATGTCAAAAAGTATTTTAAACGCTCTTGGAAAATCATTTTACATTCTGTTAGAAAATTTACATCGAATTCTAAATTTCCATAACGGGAATAACCTAGAAGCAGATTTACAATGGGTTCAAGTGCTCTTATTATACAGTTCGCAATTTGTACGAAATATGACAGCGGGCAATCTAATGAAATGTCATGATGAATTGGTCAGCATATGGTTTTTTATAATGGAGAAACAAGTTCAATTTACAAGAGATCATCGACAAAATGTTCAATGGAACAAAATCATATCTTGTTTACAAATGATAGCCACGACTTTAACAAATGAATCGGGCACGTTTTTATTCATGTCAAATTTAATAATGAATGAAATTTGGACCAATCCTGAAAGTGAACGTTATTGGGATCCGAAGAAATCATCAAATAATATTACTTCAGAGTTACAAGTAAATAAGCAAAAAAGTTTGTCAGTACTGAAGACAACTGAAATGATGGTTGATAAGGACAATTCATTTATCGACCGAAAAGTAGTTTATCGGCCGAGGCTACAACTTTATCGTAAAAATTGGACATTCAAGAAACCAATAAGAATTCAGAATACTTGGCAATCGCACTTTGCGAATAGCGTAATTGAGTAATTGTTTTATTCTTTATTTTTTTTTAAAAAAATAAAATAAACAAAGGTATATGTGTTTATATATAAAATAAAATATTCTTTTTTAAAGTTCTCCTTTAGATGAATGTTACGTATCAAATGCAATAAACACAGCAACATTAATTAAGATGTGTTGTCTAAAATCAGGTGAATAATTTATTATATTGATTTTTATTATTATTGATTTGATTTAATACGGTATTTCAATATTTTTTTTATTTTAGATTTATTGGCGTTCGATAATGAGAGAGCTAGCGAGTTGATACAGCTACTTATGGATAAATTTACAACTGTAGAACCTCCAACTTCAGTAACCATACACTCAATGATACCAAAGGGAACGAAATTACTGAATTCTCGGTAATTATGAATATAACATTCTTGTTCTTTCCATTATTTCAAGGTTAATTTAAAATTTTTTGATTGGTTCATTTTTGAAATCAAAGTGATTGGATATTGAACGAAGTCTTTAAATCTCATCATCAGTATTGGATTTTACTCGACTATTTATCCAATGGTATAGTGTTTTTTTCTTTTTTCTATTAAAAAAAGACAATTGAAATAATATTTAACAATTACACGTTTTACTAGTGAATCATGAAAAATACAGAGAATTGCATGATTTTTTGATCCGAGCCCTTTTTGCACATAATATACAATTTTGGCATTTTACTCAAAAATCAGATCCACAAGAATGTCGTTTAGAGTTGGATGTTGCTATAAGATTAATAGATTCAATGCGTAAAGTAAGCCTTTATACTAACGAATGTATTTCCTATCCATTTACTAATACTTCTTTTTTTTTTTGTTATAGGCAGGAGATATTCGACCTCCTATGACAGAAATTGGAAGGGTGTTGCCATATTTGAATACAAAGGATATATATAATATGTTATATGAAGTGTGGAAATTTATAATGGAGAATTGGCAACAATGTCCATATTCCGATAATTTTATGGAGCAACAAGAGAATAATGAAATCGGAGAAATCAATTATGAAGAGAGGGTTCGTAACATAAAGATAATTGTACAAAAGAACATTTTAAAAGTACCAGATGAATTAGTTCGTTGTATATGTGATGGAACGAATAATCAATTACTATCTGAATGGAGTACTCATTGGATCAACTCAATAGACTTGGCAATAAACTGGGATTAATACATTAAGTTTTTCTCACGTGTACCTTTTTACTATAACTCAGAATAATGATGTTTTTTACTTTCGTAAATTGATGTATTTGATGCAGAGTTTATTTAAAAAGATTAATTTAATGAATTTAACGTATTTAAAAAAGCATTCTTTTTTTTTTATAAAAATAAATAATTCAATAAATCAAAATAAAAAATGTCATCTTCTGATAGCGACTGGTTGTATGACCCATTTTCCTTGGTTCAAGAAGAACGAGAATCTATTCATTTATTTCCTGACAATTTTCTCTCTTCTACGGTTAATCACCTTCAAGCTAAAGTAAGTGTTAAAATATATATATATATTTATTTATTTTGTAGGGGAAAAAAAAAATGGCATTATTTTCTCATTCTGCATTTATTTTAATAGCTTGAAGATTACTGGAGAGGTATATAAAAAGAAAATTTTTCAATTTCATTTTTTTATCATGTTACAGTACATCACTTTTTTTTTCTTTTTTTGTATTTAGTATCACCAGCCATGGCACAATCTGAAGCGATTCAATCAATTGATGTCTTTATCATGACGATTCATTATATTCTCATTAAATCTATTCAAACGCTGGCGTCGTCACCAAAAATTTCCATTACATTCTATAAGCAATCTTCTGGTCACATTATCCACGAGATCCCTTGCGAATCGGATCGAAAGATGTTTGATAACTTTAGCGAAATCGGATACAACTTGCTCCATAATAAAAAAATTAACGAAAAATGTGAATTACATTTTATTGAAAAATTTAATGGTTATGGGTTCAGGTGGAAAAGGTACTTCGATTACAGAAATGAATGCGTAAGGTTGAATGTATCTATTAAAACAAAGACTGATGAGATACTACAAAGAGTAAAAATTGCTTCTTTTAATAATGGAGCTAGTAATAATAATGGTGGTGCTAATCACATCTAGCTTTTGATGATAAAAAAGGTTACTAACCAAAAACGTGAATATTGATTATCTTGTATAAACATTATCATCATCGTCATACAATATAAATATAAATATAATAAATAATAATAATGATTTCAGGAATAAGGATTTCCAAAAATTTTTGATTGTATTTCAATTTCTTTTAAGAAAAAATGTCAGCGAATCAGTCTACCCAAACCGTCGTTAATTTACCTTTAAATGAAGAGACAATTCAATCAAGACATGACGCAATTAAATCTCATCTTCCACGCGTTTCAATCGAATATTGTGTCCAATGTCGTTGGTAAGTCCGGAAAAACGTGTATACATATATACATTTGTGTATATATATTTCATTAAATCATTTGTATAGGGTATTACGTGCAGGATGGATGGCACAGGAATTATTAATCACATTTAATGATCTCCTCGGTGAAGTAGCTTTAATTCCTGGTTCCAAAGCCATTTTCAAAGTTCATATCAATGGAGGTAATATAAAATAAATTGATTTTATCTTACAAATATTATTATGGTTAACATTGGTGATAAATGTAAATAGAACTTATTTGGGATCGTAAACAAGAAGGAAGATTTCCGGAAATGAAAGAATTGGTGAGATAATATCTTCACATTCTTTTACATCGTAAATTCTTTAATTAACGTTTTTTTTTCTTTTTATCCTAGAAAACACTTATTAGAAATATAATTGCTCCTGATATGAATCTTGGTCATAGCGATGCAGATAAAAAAGGTGAATCCGCCAAAACAACTGCCACCAATGACGACATTAGTGTGAATAAAACAACTGGAGGATGCAAAGATTGTACTTAGCTTAGCCTTCATGATATTGAATTGTTAAAATTAATAAATACTGTATATATTTATTGAGATTATCTCAAATTTTGATACAATTTATTTCTATAAAAAGATTAATTAAATCAGCAAAAATCAAGTTACTTGCCGGGTTATTCAAAAAATTTAATTTATACATGAAATGTATATTAAATAAAATTTTATACAAAAAATTTGAATGATAAATATTCTAATCTAATCTCTAATCCCTAACCATTATTTTATTTTTATCATATACTGTAAGTAATTTTTCTGTTATTTATAATATCATTAACCTATGCAATTTTTATATTGCATTCAAATTTAACATTAACTCATTTTAATTCTTTAATAATTTTGAATCTGTGTCGGCCATGATTTAAAAATGTAATAATCTCTGTTGTTTGCTGCATTTACATTTCCTCCTATAATGAACCATTCAATTTAACATTCACACTGTCACCTTCAGAATTCTCTGATTATGTAATATATACGTTGATCGTGAAGATCATCGGTTACCCTAGGCTGATGAAATCCCAGATTGTTATTCAAAATACCAGGCGAGGCAAACAAGATTATTTCTTTCATAGAGCATCTGCTCATTAAAAGGATCACGGATTGCTGTTCCCCAGTCAGCAAGAATAAGTGAATATTCAAATAAGGTGTTTTCGTCTTGGTGAAAAACTTTCGCCTCAAAACTGTCCAATTCACTTTTAAACTGGGGAAATAAATATTGAAAAGTTATCATGCGTAATGTAGTTTGGAATATTCTGAAAGTTTTTACCGTTACTGAATTGTAGAATTTGTGCCTTGTGATAAGGTTAATATCTTGACAATACTTTAAATCAGCTTGAGTATCATTATATTCAACCTTATATACTGTTGAAGATGAACCCAAACCTAAAAATTCCCTCACATGTATATTTGTGCATTGTCCAGAGCTGTGTAAAATCTGATGCTCCTAGGTCCAGCCATTTTGTAGAAGATGAGAGCAATACCCAAAAAGGCGCAAATTCTTCACGCAATGACTGATGTTGAATAAGGACATTCATTTAATATATTAGTTGGCCCTTATCTACGTCAGCCAAACCACTCTCACTTTTTTTTTTTTTTTTATCTCTAGAAGCGTTTGCAAAAACATGGGAATGCAGGTTCTATCTTTAACATCATTTTCAAGAAATCTGACTTAATTCCGCCAAGGTATAGATTATTTTGTGTATCTTCCACAACGAGTCTTTTATTAAAGCTTGGAGCTCTAATATCAGGTCATTGAACTAATCTTGAACTTCATCTTCTGTAGCAATTGGTGTGGGAAATCTCGCAGATATTTATTGACTGATCCATCATTAGCAAAATAACCAAGGGCTCATCTTACTAAAAAGTATTCCGTGTCAGCTCTCTCAAGCACGATGCTCTAGTATGCTCTTTCACGTGTTACGGAACCTGAAATGTATAAAATATAGGTGAAATTGCCAAATTTTACAAAAAAACCAGTACCTGTATCAAAGTCATTATTATTAAGCTTGTTATTTCTCTCAAGACAAATCAATGCTTCCGAGTTTTTTCATTTGCTTTTAAAACATTCTGGGTTTCTTCTGAGTCTTCTCTCCCATCTTTTCCGTAAAGAACGTGCTGATGCACTCTCACTGGCAGAGCTACCTGAAAAATCACTGTGAATATAGCATATCGAAATTGCAATACATTAAATTAATAAACGTACCATTTGACCAAAGAGGTCTGCGAGATTCTCTATGGAAGCTGGAAAAAGATGCCATAGAATGACAAATGGTTGGTTATCAAGCCAAGACGCGTTTACAAAATTTATTACGACTCACCGGTAGCAGCGGGAAGTTCTACAATAACGTGAATGTGTTTTTGGGCGGATTTGACGATAAGAAGCAGGAAAAAAAGCACAAGATCAAGGTACCTCCTTGAATTTGACTCAGCTTTCCGATTCTTTTGGATGGTCCACCTGGTATTTCCCATCTTTCAAAGTCGTCGCAGTATAATCAAGATTGTACTTCTTGACTCCCAGTGTTAGTATCTATGTGCTTATCAATGTTGTTTATTATCTCTTTCAAAAATCCATTAAGTTGTTCGGCACTCCATCCTTTCCTCGACTGTCGGAAGATTTAGATGTAGGAACAACATCGAATACGAATTTTTGATCAGCTTATTTGATCATCCAATTGAACTTTTTGATAACCAATTTTTTGTAAAATGACATGCCGAACTTATTAAAAACGTTTTTTATTAAATCAAGCCAGAAGAATTTTTTGCTGTTGTTGTTGAGTGAGGAAATTTTACTGTTGCGTTGAAAGAAATTTTGCTCAGTAAATGGTTTAAAGTTAACTATGGAATTGAACGCATGGTATTATTAGTTATGTCCTCTCGAGGTCCAGGTTTATAAAATTAGGTTGAAGTATAGTATTTATTAATTTTTTTTTTTAAAGAAACCAAAACCAAAAAAAAACGCGTTTTATATTTTTATGTCGATCATTTACTTTAATAGTTTATCATTTTTTATTAATTGAGCTTAATTTTAACTTCTAAATTTTCTTTAGAGATCTTACAAATAATAGATTTATATTATGATTTTAAACAATGCAAATACTTATGCTTAAATATTTTAAATAGTATTGATAATAAACATCATCAAATAAAAAAAAAATAATTATATTATATGAAGGTATACTACTTAAATTAGATTATAATAGCATCACTATATAATTCTAATATCATTCTATATTTTGAATACCATTCTATAATCTAACATAGGTCAAAGGGTGTTCATTGTCACACAATTTACCAGAAATTTTCTGGATAAATTGTGCTTTTTTTTCATTAAATTTTGTTAAAAATAGAGGTAAAATAACGCTGTTTTGCTAAAATTACCCAAAATTGAACATTCAAATTTTGAAAATTACTTAAATAATGTTACCAATTACATCAAAATAATAATAAAAATCCTAACATTTAATAAAATTAATAAAGTTACTAAATAAAAATCCTAACATTTAACAAAATTACTAAATAAAAATTTTGCGTTTTGATAAGATTTACTAAACAAAAATTCTATGTTTTGATAAAATTTAATATATAATATTAAATTACTATAGAAAATCACCTATTTTGACAAAATTTAACTAGATTACTAAATAAAAATCATGGGTTTTGACAATTTAATTATATTTTAGATGGAAATTGAATATTCACAAAGTCAATTAAATACAACTTGTTAAAAAGTTACAATAATTTTTGATAAATTTTATTTATCAACATGCAAATTATTCATTAATATTTTTATATAAGGGATTGTTATAGATTATTATTAAATAATACATGAAATTCTGTTTCTTTATTTTATATTATAATTATAATTAACATAACTTTTTATTCTTAAGTCTCTTTCTACAATATTTTTGTTTATTTTTGACGATTGTTGAATTTATGATTTATTTGCAAAATCTGCTTAAAAATTCATAAATTAAAATGTTATTTAAACCATTAAATTAGTAGATTTTTCTAAAAATTTGCAATTACTATAACTTTTCTTACTCTTTGATTTTAAACTTTTCTTTAAAATACTATTATATGATAATGAGGTTTTTTCAACAGTTATAATCCGTTATCTATATAAATTGCAAAATTAATTTTTACATTTACTAAATATATCTTCAACAATAATAATAATTATTATTAATATATGATTAATCATATTCATCAACATTCTTACTTCCTGATCTTAAGCTTCTCTTCAGAATACTATCAAATGACAATAAATGTTATTTCAATAGTTATAACTTATAATCTATTTGTATAAAGTATAAAGTTATTCTTGTATTATTAAATAAATCTTCAATTAATATAATCTATCATATTTAAAGAACTTTTATATAATTTTCCTTTTTTTCGTTACAAAAGTCATGTTTGTAATTTATATGTAGATTCTAATTCAAAAATTTATAAATATGAAGAAGTTATATAACAAATCTTCTGTAATATCTCAGAAATATTATGATAATTACTACTAAGATCTTTATGTAACATCAATGTTTATTATACTCATAATAGATCATCTACTTATGATATTACAAAAGTTATATTAAATTCTGAAATTTACAATAAAAATATTTAATTACCTGGAATTTCTTCAGTTGAATTATGCCTTTAGATATTAGCATATAATGTCATTATTTTTCATTGTGATTGAAAATCTATAAAATTTTTTAAAAAAAATGTCATTTCAAATTTTACTAAAAGTCTACATAAATTATTACAATTATAAATATTTGTCATTGTCATAATCTGATTTTAATTTATTTTGTCTGAAAAGCAATAACAGAGGACCTTTTTCCTTAATGACCTACTAAATAGTATTGTAGGGGTTTTCTTCTTCCAATCTTTATCTTTAAATACTTAAAGTCATACTTTTTTATTTTCTGAAAAATTCTTTTTGATATACTTATCAATAGTATATAAAAGACTATTTAACTAACAAGACATTTAATTAAAATTAATAAATTAAAATAGTAAATTAGCATTAAGATTATTTTTAGAATCGCTTTCTTCTAGAAAATAGTAGTTATTTTACTTAATATCTCATTTATATCTTCTATAACATGTCTCTTTAATATTTCTCAATATCTGCCATAGATAAGATCTCTTTTAATCTTTGCTTGCATTTCTATAATTAGGTAAAGAAATATTATTTTCTAGAAATTTTTAAAAATATTTTAAAAAGAATCAAAAATTACTTCAAATAAATAGTTTGTTATATAACCTATATACATCTTTTCCTTTTTTGGTTATATAAACAATAAATTTAACAGTTTTATAATAAAAATTATGTAAGCGTAATAATAAAAAATTAAACTTTTATTTATTTTTATTTTTTTTAATAAGTTATTTCTATATCTTTTCCTGTAATTTACTGTTTTTATATTCTCTTCTATTATCAAAAAAAGAAATCTTCATATATAAGAATGATTTTTTCAACTTTATTATTATTTTTTCAACAATAATGTTTGATAGGTTTCCTTTTTAGATTGAAAATTCATTGTGAAAGTTAGACAAAGGAACTTAGAGAATGTATTTCACTTAAAAGATATTTAAATCCAATTTGAACTTGCTTTTGAATGTTTATCATTCCTCTTTTTAATCTCAAAATATGTTCTTAATAATGATTAGAAAATTTGTATATTGAATATATTAATTGTAATTAAACTTGATTACAATGTACTTTCATAAGAATTTAAATTTTAATCACTAAATGTAGGATCTTATAAATATGAATATACTGATATTAAATAAGAAGAATGCTTACCTTATAAAGAAGTTATATATTTTAAATATTATCAAAGAATAAAAGGTAAAGTAATGTATATTTAATTAAATCATTTCATTTTTGAGTTATTATAAAAGATAAAAATATTGCTAAATAAATATTAACAAAAAAAAATTCTATTATTATATATTGCCTAAATACTTCTGTTATATAATTGTATGAGAATTTTTGTAGTTAAATTTTTAACTAATAAATTAATTAAATTTTAGTTGATGAGAAATTCTAAAGTTTCAAAATAAAATGTAATATATGTATCCCTATATATATATAAAAATCAGAAGTTTAAATAATATTTATGGAATTTATTTTATATATTATTTTTTAAAATAAACTTTCAAAAAGTATCTTCTATGGTTAAAATAATTATTATTAAATTATAATGATTATTTTATATTAATTGTTTTAAATTAATTGTGATAAATTTTAATTGATTTTTCTACGCTGATTATAGTAAAAAATGAAAGTTAATTAATTTTTATTGATTTTTCATTTTTATTTCAAGTTAAAAATTGCAAAAAAATATGTTGAGTATTAAAAAACATTTCAGAATATGAAATTAAGTGAGATGTTTTTGTAATAAATGCAATGAAATTTATGTTAATCTAAGAACTAAAAATAAACATTTAATACATTCAATAAATTGAAGTATTATTACAAATACAGCCATTTTATTACAAAATGAAAATAATCTAATGAATAAGGTTAATTTACTACAAAATGAAGATGATCTGATAAACATAGTTGACTTATTACAAAATAATGATGATCTAATGATTGAGAACATTACTGATAAAGAAGAAAATATAATAACACTTTCTTTAAAAATTAGAAAACGAAATAGAAATAAAACTTTTATAAAATGTAATAATAAATTAAATCAGAAAGACTCTAATAGTAATAAAAATCACGAAAAAATTGACAATGCTAATGATACTGATGATGATCATACAAATTCTAGTAATGATAATGATGATGATAATAATCATAAAGATGATGATAAAACTAAAATTTTTGAAAATTATTCTTCACCAAATTATGATTTTTTAAATAATTTTAATGAAATGCAAAATACTAACGAATATTGGATCATTATATTCATTTTAAGATTTTAAATCAGGTTTCATTTATCAAATATCACAATTGATGCATTAATTAAATTTGTTAATCACATTTTAACAGAATTGAATGACAAGCAATTCAAAAATTTTTCTATTTCTTTATATACTGCAAGAAAAAAATTGGAATTAAAACATAAATTTGTCAACTTTTTTGTATATTCTTTATGTCACAAATTGCATAATATAAAAAATGTTAAACAATATATAATTTGAGATCAAAAAAGATAAAAAAATTTGATCATATACAATTTTTAAATAGTCATCATCATTTTTATTAAATATGTGATATTCCTTTATCAGAACAAAAAGAACTAGAGAATGGTAAAATTGTTAATTTTTTATTATTAATTTATCTAATAACTAATATAAAAGATCAACTTCTACATATGTACTAAAGGTTAGATTTTAAAAAATCTTTTAGATTATGTATTAATTGATTGAAAAAGAAATTCTGTATGATATATATAATGGTAAAATTTAAAAAAAATTTTCAAATAATAGAATAATATGTGATAAAGATA